AATATATTCTGTACTTCTATCTTTGATTTTATTTTTATGAACTTTTATAAAAAAGTGATAATTCCATTTCGTAATAAAGGTTTCAAAATGACTATACAATCTGTGTCAGGCTGTAATGTACATTTGTTTACCAACAACAACCAAAAAACCTAAGGGGGGACGAAATTTGGGCCCCTTACCCTACCTTGACGCATTCACCACCGTTTTCCGTAGACCCAGGTCACATAGTATAATAAAGGAACAAACAATTTGTAAGAAACGTTCAAAGGACGTATTTAATCGAACCGCAGCGAGGGGATGACGTGCTTCAGCCGCAGGCAAAGGAGGAGGATCGCCACTGGATCGATCCTGGAAAGAATGGCAGAAGGGCGAGAGGAAAACGTAGTATCAAGCCAAGTGCTTACCAGCCAACCACCTTGACCCAGTTCCCGCGAGCTGCTCCTGGAAAACCGACCATGAACACGGCATGATTGTGCGCGATTCAAGAATTTATCCTGGAAAGAATACACTATCGGCCAAAAGTTTGGGACCAGGTTTGATAATTAAAGAAAAAGAGAAATATTATTCTACAAACATTTGATAAAACTAATACGCTGAGAGTGATTGGAAATAATTTATAGATAGTACTGATTCTGTGACTTTTATAATATCGAAACAGAATACAGTAAATCCACGATGAGTGTTCGAAGGTTTATCAGCACTGAACATTCAATATCCTTTTTTTATTCTTAACCCAATGAGATACTCTAGAGAAAAAGGAAATTCGGATTTTTCCTCTTGTCTTTATAAATCATTTTATAAAACGTTATTTTGCATAAAAATCCGCAGTCTATTTATGACCAGTAGTGTATGTACCTGAGCCTATGCAAGATTACCTGGCCCCGATTAAAGGATAATTACGTTACCAGTCACGTCATGAAATCGTCGTCGACGAATAAGGATCCCGTGACCTGGTGAACAATTTCTAGCTCGGGATTAATCCGTGGCTTAGCGTCGGGTTATCCTGTGAGTAACGTCGACTCTGGCTATTGTTTTATTGTTGTGTCTCATGGGAACCGAGATGTATGTATATATTCTTGTCTCGAGGACGGAATGAAGAATCAGTCGAAGGTTGTAACTGAGTTTCTACAGCACGGGAACACTTTTTCTACAAGAATGGAGGATATATTGATTTGTTTAATATTATTAGTTTTTTTTTGTGAAAACATTTCATGTGAACCAACCTAATAATTTATCACTGTCATTTTAGTTGCTATTTTGAAATAACCCAGATAGCACATGACGCTCAATGACACCTTGAAGACGGCTTAAAGGCCTCTTAGACCTAAAATAGCTGTAAAATGGGCGTCTTTAAGGCGTCTGTGCTATTTGGGAAGTGTCATTTATTATTTATCTCTTAATTATTGATGATAAATATTAAGTAGAGTTTAAAGTGATTAATTGTTTAAATAGTGCACAACTCCTATATGTCACCCTTCTGGTCCTCGAGGACCGTCGACGTAATGGCCGCCAGGGTCCTCCAGCGATTCCTAGGGCAATCTACCATAACCTAAAAGAAAAAAATTCTTGAACAATTTTTATTTTTCTTCGTACCCAGTATTTCAACGACATATCATTATTTTTTGTTATTAAGAATGCGGTATCGAAACTTTCAGCCCCCCCCCCTCCTATTATAAGTCTCGAGATACGGTTCCCTCGCACATTCTTATCATTCTTATTTTCCCGCGCACATTTTTATCGTTCTTATTTTGCTCCCGGTGAAACGACGAAGCGAGTGATGTCAGAGCCAGGGAAATATAAAAGAGACCGAAAAGGTCAAGTCTAAGCTTAAAGATCAAACAGAGAGGGGGAAGAGGTTCGTTTCATCCATCCTGATGAGCGCCGTGTGGATCCTGAATTCTCGGATTTACGGGAATGATTTTCCTGGATGTCTCAGAGCTTCCGGTTTCTTGATCCCTCCTTTTTCTTCGTGGTTGATACACCAAGCACGTAAGATCGTGAACGATGTTTCTGGTTAAAATAATCCTTGGACTCTGGAATAGAAGATAATAAAATGAAAAGAAGAGAAAAGTCCATAATGTCCTGAATTAAGGAGTGCCCACGTAAAATTGGCTGATAAATCGGAGATCCTAGGATCGAATACTTTTGTTTTACTTTGCCAATGTAACTTCGATAACTTTGCCTTATATTCATAGTATATTTTGAAAGTCATAACAGCTTATACAGTAAATTCTGGATGAGTGTTCGTAAGCTTCTCGGCGCTGAACATTAAATATTTCATAAACAAATGGCCATAAGTGCTTAAAACAAATATCATTGGCTTCAGAATTCCAAGCTCTATTACTGTGCTAATCCTCATTAAAAAGTCAGTTAAAAAGTTTTTACGCTGGACAGTTTTTTGATTAATAATTGTCCACTAGAAATACGAAAATAAATCGAACTTACCTTACGTAATTATAAAATGTACAGTTAAAATTGTAAAATTATGAATTTATCCAGGTGATTCGATCATCCAGTGTAATAATTGAAACGACCGTCTATAATTGATTGTTTAATAATTGAAACGATCGTCTATAATTCAATGTTTAATAATTGAAACGACCGTCTATAACTGAATGCTTAATAATTGAAATTCCCACGCCGCAATAGAGCACTCTCGGCTGATTATTATTCAAACGATCCGTGAAATCTCGTACTGAGCGTCTTCGATTTCGCGCTTGGAGGGGGAAAGAGATACGATGAGCACCGTAGAAACGCGTATACATATGTATATATCTGTATACGCCTCTCTCCCACTATTTATTGATCACAGCCTGGCTTTGACCGTGCTCGTAAACGCGTAACCTCGACCTTCGAGCGATTCCCGTCGACGAAAACGAGTCTCCAGAAACGTGTGTTCGATTAAAATCGTCGACGGTAATTTAACTGGACATTCAATATACGTATTTTAAAAAAAAAAATAACATTTCAATGTTACACTAATCTCTAAATGTGTGGTATTAGAACCGTTACCTACAATTAATTATCATATTGCCAATTTTGAAGTGTCAATTGAGTGTTTGAAGAAAAATTGGATTTTTCCCCCCCCCCCCCCCCCCTCCAGAGGAGAAAAATAATACATATTATAAAAATGTACCATAAGACAAATTTTGCCCCCATTGAATGATAATCTGGCTACGCCCATGATGGTATCAGTATTTCCAGTTTGTACGCGGAGATAACAAAATCTTGTTTTCGCACTTTCAGTGAACTCAATTTTTCTTTCGTGATTACCTAGACTAATCTCAACAAGTCACTTTATTCGTTAAATTTACCTAATACTACTGTACATCCCTATCCGAATGTATTTATCTTGTGTTCAGAATAAAATAGAAATCTCGTTGGATCCAATGAAAGTTTGGTTTTGTTATCATATATCACAGAGCATTTATAGGCTGTAAATGCATAAAAGCCACAGTTTATTGATAATTGTTAATAAATTACACTTTCAATTCAACTATGCTGCTTGTTAATTAAATTTTATTTAACAATTTTAGTACACTTATTTTAACGATTTATTACTAATAACCATTCGTACTTGATGCGACTTAAAATATAGAATTAAAAACCAAAAGCTACCATACATCGTCGGTGCAATTTTCTCGGCTCCTGGAAAAGCCTTGTCTGGGTATATAAACACGTCGCAGAGTTGAAAAACGTTTCACAGTCGAAAGAGATTGTTTTTTTCCCCGCGTGTTCCGCGTGCCGCGAATTAAAATGATAATTGTATACAATTATCCGGGGCGTCTATCGCGAAGAAAGGAGCCAGCGACTGGAATGTAATCACGGTGAGGAGGGGGGGAAACCGCGGAATGAAGTAGAAAACCGTAAATCACGTGCACCGCTGAGCGGTGATTCGATTCATATATCTGCGCACCGTGGCGGTGATTATGTAATAATTAATAGCTGGAGAACGTACGTGGTACGATTATCGAATTTTTATGGGGAGGAATGAGTTAACAAGGAGGTAATTCACCATCGAAGTGTTTTACCTGGATTTTTTTGTGCGACTCGTAATGAGATCTTTACTACTACAATAAATCCTCGATGAGTGTTATTAAATTATTTTACAATCGTACGATTTGTGAACACAAACATGGTCATTTGTTTATGAAATATTTACTGTTTTGTGCCGGGGAACCATCGAGCACTTATCGAGGATTTACTGTACGGTGGTATGTTAATGAGTATTTACCATAATATGCATACTATAGTTAATTAGATAGAAATTATTGAAATACGCATCCATACGCAACGATAATATACATAGCTACCAGCGAAAGCGTTTCTCCTGGCTGTGTAATCACGTAACTCGTTACTTTAATTAGACCGTAATGTAATTAGATCGGAAATAGAGGGGCGTGAGAACGATCGACGGCGGTCTCAATGATTTCGAAAGTCCCGAGGGGCTGTCAACGGTTCCCTCTGTTGCGGTCGCTTGCAAACCGGAAGCTCGTGAAATCGACTTTCCGTGTAAACGATTCCGATAGGCTGCGGCGAAATATACCTTTCCACAGTGTTACGACGTCTGTCGATTCAACGTAGCGTGTCACACGACACGATAGAATCGCGAAATACCCTTTTGAATAGTTTGAATCCATCCGATTGGATCGAACTACGTGAAAAATGTCAATAGTAAATGTAGTCTGATTCGATCGATCGTATTCAAATGTGGGTCAGATCCTCGAACCATCAGGAAGCGAAATCTGCAAGGCCAAATTTTGTCCAACGCCTGTTACAGACTCCTCTCGATTATTGCCTGGTTTGTTTTTTAGGTTGGTTCCTCTATTTGTTCGGGTCAATTCTAAGGAAAAAATGGTTTCAAATCATCTCAGGAACCCCTCATTTCCGGGAGTTTTAGCTATTTTGGAACACCCTGTATACATCTAATATCATCTCACGTTTTCCATTAGCTTCGGTTCAACGGAAAAATGCTAACAATCTATAATTCTGTTTCGCAGGTTCGACGACGGCCACGATGGTTTCCTCGATCTGGCCGAGCTGAAACGCATGATGGAGGTCCTGGGGGCGCCGCAGACTCACCTAGGGTTGAAAGCGATGATACAGGAAGTGGACGAGGACGGCGACGGACGTATTTCCTTCCGCGAGGTTCGCGATTTCATGCGTTTATTATTACGCCCCGTGTGCATCTTTCGGGAAAGAGATCTAACGACATAAAAAGTGACGTAGGAAAGGACCTTCTGCCATTTAGTTTTGGGAATTATTGAAATGTATATCAAATTAACATTCAATTTAACATTTATTTCAGTACTTGGAATAAATTAATCAAGTTGTAGCATCGTGTGAGCCCCATTGAACCATTCAACTTTGTCCTTAAGACATTTGATGTATTTTTAAAAACGAGAAAGATATTTGAGGTGCAAACGTTAGGTGACTCACCTTGTATAATAAACAGCAGGAAATCAATTCTGTTTGTGTAACGGGTTCCATTTTACCGGAAGCCCACGCGGGCCCACAATGAGCACTTTCCTCAGCACGTTATACGGCCCCCCTTGGACGGTTAGCGTTTAACGGTCAGTCCCGTTTCAATTTCACTTTTGCACCACTGAAACGGTTTCTTTTCTTGCGATGGTTACCGCTACCCTTCAACGGTTTCACCTTCAGGAGTGAAGGTGACTTTGGGCCTGGAATCAGAGACGTGTCTTCGGATTGGGTGAAGCCTTTCAGCGCTGAACCAATATCGCACAATGGAACAAATAGGGTAGCTAGCTGGACAAAAGAATGCCGTCGTTCGTGTCGCATTCACCATGGAATCGCTGTATCTTATTTTGTTTGGATGATTTTTAACTTTTATATAATAGATTGGAAGATTTTATTTTTTACTCGCCTAGTCATCAAGTGATGAATGGTTACATGTCTTGTTTTAATAATTTTAATACATTAATAATAAGAGAAGAAAAAATTCGATGTAAGCTACTTTTAGACTTTTGTCCAGCTTGAAAAAGGAACGCTATTTATCCCATTGTGGCAGAAACAGCAGTAACTGGATTTAAAACATACACCGTTAACAAAAGATATTCCAACAAGTTCATGATAAATCTTGGCGTGCCAGTTTACATTCCATTGCAAACAATAAAGGGATGTTAACTGCGCGTGGAAATCTTGTGGTTCCGTCGATCAAAGTGTTGAGATGCGTGAGCGCACGTGCCACCGCCCTTCGTAAAAATAGTCCAGCCCAACGGGGTGTTTAGCATGAAACTCGACCATGGCCACACTGTTTATTCTCCGTTCGCGTGGTTAGGGTACGTTCGTGGGGGTCTCTGCGTGGCATTCTATTTTAACGAAGTCTGCCGTTCAAGCTGCTGAAAGTGACCTGAAAACACCCCACGTTCTAAATGGGGGAGGATATCCAAATACGGGATAGCGTGTTAGATTGATCGAATCATCCCTGTGTGTGCCTTCAGATTTTCGATGTTCTCGATTCCAGTCATGTTTATTTATTTTTCTATAGCTTTGTGAGTATTATTTGAATTAGCTGACACGTTGACTGGGGGGTGAATTTTATGTTCTTTGTTCACACCAGGGTAAAGTTGTCACTGCATGAACTAAATTACGGCGAACTATGGACACTGTGTTACCATAGTTTGTGCATCTACTTACCGATGGTCGGTCAGTATGTGTTACGATAAGGATAGTGCATATCGGAAAGATTACAAAAGGTGGAAGCCTGAAAGGACTCGCACATAGGGATTGGCCAGTTAAGAGATAAAGTTATACATTGTTTATATTTAAAAATTATTAATTTATATGTTAATGAAATTTGTTACCAAGAATTATTACACAGATCAAATCATAAATCAAAGGGAAAATGATTGCCAGTCAGAAATTAAGGGGTTAATGATTTTTATATGATGAAATTAATGATATTACTTCTTAATGTGAAAGGTAAAAAAGTAGTACTCGTAAAAGTGCAAGAGGTGACCTATTGAGGACTCACTTCGCTCGTCCAATTATCCTTTGTTTGATGTAAATGACCCTAATGGCGCCATTGCCAAGTGGATTGTCGGTCGTCCCTATAACAGTCAACAAACTATAAAATAAATATAGTTAACACAGGACAGTGACAACACAAGCGGATTCGTATGATGCAAGGAATATTGACAAGCGATCTGTATCGTCAGGACGATGACTAATAAAGTAAGGAGGAAGGTGAACTGTGCTCCCAGCTATACATACACATACGTACACCCAGAGTTCAAGCCAGACGCCGTGAATCACGTTGATCTACGAAACCGTCGGTCGCGTGCATGCAAACTGTACTTATATACGCTTTGTTTTCGAGCCCGCGAAAAGTCACGTAGGAATGCACCGGCGACGGTGTAATGCATTCGCATCAGTGGACTTTCCTTCAGGCGTCGCGAGCGTGTCCTCGCATTCGCGATTCGTCCATCCCCCGTGACGCGTCCAGCATGTCCCCAGCGAAAGTTTCCTGCGTGGTTCTGCGTTTTGTAACAATACTCCAACCAGAACAATCCAATAATCATTGCAAACCTGGTCACGAATAAATAATTCCGAACGTCGATCGTCGAGATTTCGACATTTGTTTAGTACCGTTCCACATTGGGTCACCGTGAAACTGTTCATCCTTGAAAGAATTACATTATTATCCTATTCCTTTTGTAGTCACCGAGCAGATATATAACGCGGTGACATAATGTACACTCGCGAGTAAACTCGGCTTCCGCTAGGGGAAAAAGTGAAGTTGGTGGAGGGCCTTCTACCATTTAGTTTTGGGAGTTACTGGAATTTATGTCAAATTAACATTCGGTTTAACATTTATTTCAGTACTTGAAATAAATTTATTAAGTGGTAGTAGACTTTTTGTACGTCACATTTTCCCTTGGCGGAAGCCGAGTTTGCTCGTGATTGTATGCTGAAGAGGAAGCGGAAGGACGTCGTACGGTCGCCAGGTCTCGAAGAAACGATTCCGCAAAGCGCATAATCGTTTGATCTTATCCGCCGACACGTAATGGTTTTCTGGGTTGTTACAGTTTCTACTAATCTACCGCAAGGCGCATGCCGGCGAATTGGAACAGGATTCTGGGTTGGGCCAGCTAGCCCGGCTCACGGAAGTCGACGTCGACGAGGTGGGAGTCACGGGAGCTAAACACTTCTTCGAAGCAAAGGTAGAAATTCCTCCCGATTTCAGGGACCTATCGGGCACGAATTTAAATTTTTTGTGGCCCAGGACTATGAAATTTTTGGGGGCCTCCTTGGTTGAACAGCGGGGTGTTGTAATACAGCACAACAAAATACATACATCTCAAAAAATTGAAATATGTTTTAAATAAAATTAAATAACATGTAATCATAACGAAATCGAAAATGCAGAACGTGGCCTCCTGGAACATGGGGTCCAGGGCTACGGTCCCCCTTAGACCCCCTTTGATCCAGCGCTGGGACCTAGAACTCTTAAATTTTAGTATTAAATTTTAGTAACAATTGTTATACCCTGTATACAGGACTCGTGAAAGCGTGCCCCTGGGGTAATTAATGTTTCTTCTGCATCGATTAATTGTTCCCGCAGATCGAGCAGCTGCGTAAGTCGAGTAAATTCGAGGACGAGATCCGTATGGAGCAGGAGGAACGAAAGCGTGAAGAAGAGGAGAAGGCGGCGAGGCGAGCGCAGTTCAGGCAAAAAGCCGCTCTGTTCGGGAATTAAGAGGGAAAACCGCGTGCGCGCGCGCGGATCGCGAAAGTGGTTGAGGGGGGATGTCTTTGTACCATAACGGAATTATAAACGGTCGCCTTGGAATCCTCCACCCTGTTTTATACGTGATCCCCCGTTGATCCGAATGTTACGTATTTCCTAAATAGCACATGACGCCTCGAAGACGCCCATTTTACGGCTATTTTAGGTCTAAGGCGTCTTTAAGCCGTCTTCAAGGCGTCATTGGGCGTTAAAGCGTTGATTTCTGTTAGGAGAACAAAATTGATATATATATGTATAAAAGTTTACGGTTGTTTTTGGAATTCATGAGATATTTTATCGCCTTCTTAGTGCATCGGCCAGGAAGGTCGCGTTATTATCGATCCTTGAGAAATTGCATTTTTAGGAAGCACTCGAAATTCATTGTCTGTTAACGATAACCCGCTTGCATAGATTTTAATGTCGAGAATTCTTGAGATTATTTTTAATTGTTCGAAGGAATACATACGGGCACGAGAAATGTTTTTATATTAGGAAGTGGACGCCGATTGCACGCGTCCGAGACGTTTTTAATTGTTTAAACGATTGTACTTTTACGCGGTCATGGATCGACGCGTTTTCAACCGGCTATTATTGTAGGTACCTTGTGGAAATGTTTTTTTTAAGTTCGTAGACGCTCAATTCTAGATTTCCGACACTTGTAGCAGGCGATAACGGAGGTTTAACACGCGACTGATATTCGTACGAGTACAATTAATCGTATATATGTATATGTGTGTATATTAATTTAAAACGTTGGTTTGAACTTAGCGAGTAATGTTTAGCGCACCATTTCGGTTGAGAATCACTTGACTGTATTATTTGCAAAACAATAGCTGAAACCTTCGGAACGTACAATAATTTTACAAACGTGTTAGTTTAGTAAGCATTTATATGATTAAGATTTTAAGCAACGTTATAAGGTCTATGGCTCTTACCAAACGTTTATTGTGACTGTAATAGAACATCGAACGAAAGTTAAAGAGAAGTATATATTTTTTTCTTTGAGATGAATGGTCTTAATAAATATGAAAAAACCTTTGTATGAATAGTATCCTATATTTGTATTCATTTATAGCAGATGAGCAAGACTTTGATCTGAATGAAAAACGATTTGAAATTATTTTTGTAAGCATTTTCACGGATGGGCTTTCAGGATGAAATTATTAAGGCCACTCGTTTCATTGTCTCGAACTGTATGTACATAATATGAAGAGTCCTAGATATATTCTAGATACGCCTGTAAAATTACCAATTGTAAATAAACTTGTCTTTTGTTCAGTTTCTTTTAACAAACTTTTATTAACTGAAGATGAAGTCACTGTAGCGTTGTATTGATATTGTGATATGAAAGTACTGGAAATTGATGTAAAATAAAGAACTGCTTTTAAAGCAATTCATAACAGAGTAACGTAATTTAGAATTTTATGTTTTCGTACTACGAAGTCGTAAAAAAGCAGACCTAAAATGATTCCTCCCTTATTAAATAAAATCTGTTCCGTGTAATGAACATTTTTTCAAACATGGCGGCCGTCAGCAGCCATTCCGTCCATCACCTAGTGTTACCAACGTAACGATTAAAAATTTTAAATACAGACAAGAAATCTATTATTTTTATTTAACGACTGCCGTTTAACGACGTAGAATTTCTAAATAAATTCGAACAAAAAATTGTCGCAAATATTATAGTGTTTTCACCTGTGTATAAAAAAAGTACTGTGTCATGAAGTGTCACTTCAAACGGCTTTGATACTGACAACAAAAATACATAAATAAGTAGATACATGTTGACATTGGAGGGTAAAGTAACGGAAGCAGGTACTATTATTTAAATTTTTATTTCCTCGATCTGTAAATAATATGTGTTTAAGTCCAGATTAACAAAATATAGATTACAAAATAAGTGTGCGAGAATAGTTGTAAAAAATAACCTTTCTCTGGTTTCAAACCAATTTTTTTCTTCTTTTAGGGAAGCACTGTGATTATTACTGTAAAGCTATCTTTTGTATTCACGAATTATCATTACGAGTAACAAGGTAACGTACTAAAATTTTGAATACCACATTCATTGTATACACAGCTTATCTTTGTCTGATTCTTATCAAGATTTGAAACCTTTTTTATAGCATATTCATTACATTTGATAATAGATTCAGTGCAAAAATCATCTGTTAACAAAATGGCATCAAATCAGGTAATTAAAAATATTATTTACATTAGTATAAAATTACTTGATGTCTTTAAATAGTCTTACTAATGCAGAGTAATTGATTTTTCCAGATTGAGAAAATTGTCAGTTTATATAAAACATTGGCACGAAATCCATCCTTGAGCTGTGCAAAAATTCTTCGAGTTACAGACAATGGAATATCAATCTTAAGTGGATGGTCACAGAGAAATTTAGAGAGGAAGACAAATCAGAAATTTTGTCAGAATTATATCTTAGATTCAAAATTGCAAGTCCAGTCTGAAAATTTTCCTATTGATGTTACAACAGAGTATGTTGCCTGGTTGAAAGCAATATTTATTATATTCGTAAAAAAAATGTTTTTCTTAAATATTTTTTTCATTGAAGACTTTTATCTGCATCCACTGAAGATGAACAGCGAAGGGCTGTATTAAGGCAAGCTGTGGTTGAAAACAGTACAAAACAATTTATCGAAATCTGGGATAAGCAGAGACTTGTAAAGAACTATGATCTAACTGCTTTAGATGTACATGGAGATGTGTACACAGATTGTAATTAAATATTACATACATATTACATATCACTGGTTGACAACTATAGCTTCAAAAATGATATTTTATTTTTATCTGCAGCTGAATTCGCTTCATTCGAATGGTCTCCAGATAAGACAAAGATTCTGTACATTGCAGAAAAGAAACTTCCAAAATCAGAACCATTTTATAAGCAAAAACCCCTTAACAAAAAAGATAAGGAGAAGAAGGAGGAAGACGAAGTATCGGTGGTAAGCCATTCTGCTTTCTATTGTATAAACCATATTGGAAATATTCATAATATCATTTAATAATACATTTGGTACAGGGTAATGAGTACATCTACAAGGCTCATTGGGGAGAGCAATTGATAGGTAAGCATCGTCCAGTGGTTGCAGTTCTCGACACAACCTCAGACACGATTTCAGCTCTCTCTGGTATACCAGATGAACTATCGCCAGCTCAAGTGCTGTGGATGAAAGACAATCAAGGTGTAGTTGGTGTAGCATGGAAACACGAGCCAAGACATTTAGGTCTAATTGCATGCACTAACAGACTGTCTTGGATATTCCTATTGAAGGATGGAGATTATAGTAAGAAATAGTTTTTCTTTACTTATTTTTAAATACTTTGTTCCTTCAAATCAGTTACAAATACAGATGAAATTAATTTTTTAAAATACCTTTTAATACCTGAGTGTAGGACATCTTGCACAATCGTAATTTTAGATATTTAAAGGTATGTGCATTTTCTAGAAAAGCTTTCCAGTGACGGTTGTGCTGTTCGTTGTCCCAGACTCAGCCCTGATGGGAGATATCTGATATGGTTGGAAAGAGAAGCGGGTGGCGCACATCACAATGCTCACAGATTAATGCATTTTGACTTTGAAACTGGAAAACAGAAGGTAGTTGCATATGAAAATGCTAGTATTATTTTTATTTTGTATAAACGTATTGCTTCTACCTTTTAGGCTGATACACTTGTAGACATTGTATCTACAAATATAGCTATTAAAAATACCGAACAATTTTATGGTTTATACGGCCGTTTACCACGTCGATGTTGGAGCAACGATTCACAGTACATATTCTTGAGCACACCACAACAGAATAACATACGTTCCTACATCATTGACATAAGTATGAAATTGAACACGTAGTTTTTGACCACATTTTTATTGATTGTAATAATGAAAAAGAAATATATTTTTTAGATGCGAAAACCGTAACGGAGATCCAAAATGACAAAAGCAGCCTAAATATTTTAGACGTGAAGGATGACATCATTGCGTTTTTGGAAACGTCCCTTCTTGAACCCTCTGTTCTCACAGTAGGAAAATTTACTCCAGAAGTAGTTAGTAGTGGTACTATACCAAGAAGTAAAATTTCAACTTTGACAACAATTCCTGATTCTGAAAATCTAATGTACGAACTCTGTGATTTTGATTACGATAGTAATGAAGAAGTTAGTAAGTAGCTTATTATTCCAATTCACGGAGTAGTGCAGAATACTTAGTACTCTAATTTTTGTTAATTATGCTTAACTCTTGTTAATAATTCCAGAGCACTTCAACTTCATTTATTTTGGTCCGAAGGGTGGCGATGACAAATCTGTACCTTTCATCGTTACACCCCATGGTGGGCCACATGCTAACTATGCAAACCAATTTGTACTAGATTATTGCCTATTTGTATCGTCAGGTAAATGTTCAAGATAACTCACCGTCATATGAACGTTTATATTAATTAAATATTTATAATTATGTTTAAGGCTTCGCTGTTGTGCAAGTTAACTACCGTGGTTCAACAGGCATGGGTTCGAAAAATGTTGAATATCTTCAAGGAAGAGTTGGAGATATTGATGTGAAAGATTGCGTAACTGCTACAAAAGAGGCTTTAAGAAGATACCCATGGTTGAATCCAGATGAGATAGGAATCAGTGGCGGTTCTCACGGTGGATTTTTAGTAACTCATCTAAGTGGCCAATATCCAGTAAGTCCGTGTGAAATATTTCATTTAAATTGCGTTCGGCGAAACATAAGAAACATGTTTTTCCAGGACCTGTACAAAGTTGTTGTTGCGAGGAACCCAGTAATTGACATCGCTGCTATGTTCACGATATCAGATATACCAGATTGGTAAAACATTAATGTATTCTTAAATATTTTCTCTAATTCTGAATTGTCTTAATTATATATTGCAGTCGCAATGCTCTGACTAAGGAAGAGAAAATTAAGTACCATCACGATGTGTAAGCGCAAATGTAGAACAAGATATGTTAAGCAACGAAGAATTATTAACGTTTGAATATCATAAAATACTTCAGTGACATTAATGTTAAAAATGGTATCTACAACATTTATACTACTTATTTTGTTGCAATTGTTAATTTCAGGTGTGCCGCTGAAGTGAACTATCCTTTCGACGAAAGCACGCGAGTGACAGAGTCCGATCAGGTTGAAATGCTGGTGAAGATGTTCAAATGTTCTCCGATCATTCACGTTGGCAAAGTGAAAGCTCCAACTTTATTATGCATTGGCTCAAACGATTTACGTGTTCCACCGTCTCAAGGGAAACTGTGGTATCAACGTCTCAAAGCAAAGAATGTTAAGACAAAGTGAGTACCAATCACTTATAAATTCTTTAACTTATTGAATTCGAATAATTATTTATTACATTTTTATTGTACGAATATTTTCTTATATATTGCATAAATGGTAAAAGTAACAACATTACAGAATGCTTCTTTATGAGGACAATCATCCTCTGGCGTCAGGACCAGTTGAAATTGATAATGTTATAAACGCTTGTTTGTGGTTGCATGAACATATCACAATTGAAAAAAACGGGGGTATAAACTCGCAAGAATAAACATGTGACAGATATAATGATTTTTAATGGTTTTGTTATCACAAATTTAATATTTACACAAATTCGTCATGTATACGAGTATAAAGGTTTGTAACAAATAAGTTTTCAAAATATACACATGTTTTTAGCCGTTGTATAATACTATAAAATTTTTATACTTTATATATGTATAAAAACTCGTTATAAATATCTTACATATATGTATGAGCTATATTATTTCGAGTTTGCAAAATACATAGAACCGTTGTTCTATCTCTAATAAATACATGCTTCATTGTAAGTATATATTTGTTACATAGATTATCGCAGGTTACCAATATTAAATAATCATTTAATTTACCGCAAGTATTTTAATGCAAATTTAAAATAATCTCACATAAATATTAAGTTTATTAAATACTGTACTTTTCCAATGTTTAAAAAAAAAGTCTTACAAACTATGAACATTATTTTTCCTAAGAGATAATTCCTCGTTGTTGAATAATTCAGTAATCCTTTCTCTAAAAATAAGGGTTTTTCTCGTAGTGTCAATTTATACCTATAGTTCTTGCTGCACACTTGTATTTTATCATATAAGAAAAGAGTATTATTGAGATTTATTTTAGACCAATAAAGGTCGAAGTACGAAATGTGTTTTGCTGATACAAAATATAAAAATTTCAGTATTACAAACAGTAATTGCATAAAGTACGGAAAACATTGTTGGTATAAAATGCTTACAAAAAGAATATAAAGATCTAATAGTTTCTTTCGCCGGAACCTTTATATGTACCTATGTATCTCTCTTTCATACAAAAAGGCACTCATTCATACCATATGTTAATGTTATATGAAGACTGCACTGTATACAGCAGTATCTAATTAAAACATTAGATAATATGCTGTCGATACCTATTAGTTACATTTAGTAACATTCACAATTATGATCTAACAGGATTACTTTGTTCTGGAAATAATGAATCGTAACTGGGTGGCAAATCTTTGTCGGCAACAGACGAGGGCACAGCGACTTCCAGCATCGGTGCTGTGGGAACCGGTGGATTCGCAGATCCTTCAGTTTCATGTGACAATTGACCCGGCCTTGACGAACACACATTTGCGTCCGCGAAATTAATGGACCAACATAACTTCTGTGATCTCTTACATATCCACAAGCACATAACGAATATGATGAAACATAAAATCATTGTGGTCACTGCACCCACTGTTACTTTGGTACCAGTACCGGTACTAATGTATTCGTTGGCATTATTCGGACAATTGTCTTCATCCGAACGAACATTTGGTAGTACATGGTTATACACTCCATCACAGAAAAATTCATTCTGCAAACAGGTGTTTAGGCCAATTGATGTATATTTGGTTAGATCCACGTTACTGCAATCTGCGAATAATATCATACACAAATTATAATTTCTGGTTCTCAATGTTGAGGCTATCGGATGTAAGCCGTGTCCTTGTGGAATTGTTTTTCTAACATTTCACAAGTTTTGCAGCTAGCTTCATCAAGGGGTTGAAACTCGCTGCAATGCTTACAAAACATTGGGAAAACAATTCCACAAGGACACGGCTTAACAGTGAGGATTGTATGATGTTGGGCTGTGAAAACCTCAAATTACAATTTGTCTTAACATCAGTGTATTAACATTTTTTAATTCTTAAAAAACTATAGAACTAGAATACTACTGAAGCTAATTGAACTTACTTTTGTATGGAGTATAAACAATGTTGAGAGCAAGAAATTCATCATCCAGCAATGTCTCGTGTGATATGAATATTTCAGTTTCTAATTCTCCTCCGGACTTGTAACCACTTGGATCATATTCAGCGTAAGTCTCAGTTGGCAATGATACGGATGAGGACCCACTGTTTTCAGATTCAGGATCTGAATACTTAGTTCTACTACGATCCAGTAGACCACAGAACTTTTCTGTCTGATAGGTATCCTTCCTTTTGAACTAGTAAATTAAAGATTAAAAACTTATTAATGTTCGCAAAGAATCACTCATCAAAACGACAAAAGTATCTACCTGCACATAGTCTATACACTGCGATCCATTCTTTCTGAATGACATTTTTTGAATGACTCCGAACAAACCATCTCCCTTGGCTGCCTTGAAGACGAACTTGCAGTGAACGTTCGGATGAACGATCCATCGGTCGAACATGTGATTGGGCCAAACGATAGCGGCCTGGGTGTTTATCTCGATGGATGATTTGCTACGTCCGTAGCAAATCTTTTCTGTGTCCATAGCATCTGAAGGAAGAGGTTATAAATATATCGTGACTGGAAGACCGCGATTAAATTCCATCCGAAACACTTACATTTGTCGTAGTGACGGCCGTGGTAGGTGCACGAGCTGTATCTCACGTAATTGTTCGCGAGCAGCAACAAACCAAAAATATGCAAAGCATCCCGACGAGCCATTTTTCGTAGGAACTGTCAGAAAGCCATAAAGAACACGGCTAAAAAACGTCACCGTTGATCGACGGATGATCGAAGTCCCTGATCGATTTCTCGTATATTCGACGTGACGCACGGTGAGAGGGCAATCGGGGGAAGAAAAATCGGAAGACGTGTAGGATATTTTCGCGGAATAGTTCAGGTTCCGATTCACCGTCTACGGGGATACGTCATCCACGTACCAAAACAAAACGAATGCGCCGTTTGTCGATCGTGAGCGGGAGAGAGAAGGTGAGAGTGGCACGCAAGACTCGATATTCGTCGTTTCAAACGAAAAATATCACGGAAAGAGACGAAAATAAAATTTTCACGTGTAAAATTACGAAGATCGACCTGTTGGCATGAACGAAAATACTCGGAACAGCGGCAGAGTGATCCGAGTGAATTTCGAGGATGTGGAAGTTGGCAGAACAGCGGTAAAAACGATAGAAATATGGAACGAGTCCTGTGTAAGAGTGGCTGGCCGTAATATACTTTAAAAAATATAATTTTAAAATATACTTTATATCTACAATAAATCCTGGATAACTGTCCGAAGGCTCCTCGACACTGACAAGGGGAGGTCCTCAGCAATAACGCTGACTTTTTTATGGGGTTTAACACAGTGATAGACCTTGGCATTCTGAAGCCAATAATATTTGTTTCAGCATCATATGGTCATTAGTTTATAAAATATTTAATGTTCAGTGAAGAGGAATCTTTGAAAACTTATCGAGGATTTACTGTACTCTATACAGGGTGGGCCGAAAATCGTAGTACAACCGGGCAGGGGGTGATTCTACGTTAAAAAATAAGAAAATATTTTGATATAACATTTTCTCATCCGGGGCTCCGTTTTCGAGAAAATCGACTTTAAAATTTGTTTAACTTGTAAATGATTTAGTACAATTTGCTTCTTGTGTATTCCACTACTACGGTTGTCTCTGTCCAGGACAGTGTTACTAATTATTCATTTTTTATTCTTTTTTAATACTAATACACGACAAGCAGATTGTACTAATTCGTTTACAAGTTGAACAAGCTTTAAAGTCGATTTTGTCGAAAACGGATCCCCGGATAAGAAAATGTTATACCAAAATATTTTCTTCTTTTTTAACGTAGAATCACACCCTGCCCAGTTGTACTACGATTTCCGGCCCACCCTGTATATTTTCCGAGTGTTATTATTTATTTAGTTGCGTTTTACTGCTGGTTGAAAGGGTTCCCGACGCATCAGAAATGATAATTTTGCATTCAAGTAAATTTATTGCAGGAGGAACAAATTTATCAAGTTCAAAGAGACCCAACCACGAACCCGTTGGATCACGTTTTCCATTTACGTTCTTACACCTGGATGCTCGCTCCGAGAGAGAGACACGTGTGCGAGATACGTTATCGACCGTTCGTTGCATCCTCGAAAAATGTGGATTACTTCAGCATCACGGAGTCGTTTGGTACCTGTTTGAAATTGATTGCCCGCGGGTCTTGTATTGGTGCGCAGAATTTAATTTTTAAATTTAACAATTCTGTATTATGATTCAATTATCCTTTCTTATTCGTAATATTGTTCTTTTTATTGTTCTCATATACAGGACCCCGTGTGACTTGTTCAACGACGAAAATCGTGCTGATCAGCACGAGCAAGAACCCGGCACCAAAATGGCGGATCAAGCTCAAGAACGACTCGAAAGCATCGGCGATATTTATGATAGCCATGAACGAAAAATATCGGCCGTTTCAATTGGATTCGAGACACGGTTGTATCAATCCTTGTTCCCACAAATACGTGACGATTACCTTTGACCCGCCGGAGGATGGAGCGTACAGTTATCGTTTGCCTGTTTTAATTTTACATCAAGTACATCGATATCAGTTCCGACAAGTTAAAAAGATTTTTAAATATCGGACGTGTTTTGATGTTGATTGGACAATTGTTTGAAAAATTAGGAACCGATCGTAATTTATTTATACGGATACCGGAGCTCGTCGCACAAGGAGGAGGACAAAAGTTATTCGTACGTTTTCCCAAGAGAGAAAAACGGCTTCGAGGGGTACATGAACGACAGTGTCGATACAACGAGTGACCTGCCACCTGTGTCCTTCTCGAAAAATTACTTCGACTTCGGTCGCGCGGAAGTAGATACGGAGAACAACAGTGCTCCAAGAATCCCGCAAGCAATATGTCTGACTAATCACAGTCAATCGGATTTATTGATCACATGGGAGAAAGGTGTTTCATGTCATTGATCACTCCACTTGAAAAAAAAACCTCTTACACCGTACAAATTGATCTGTTAGCTGCCGTGGCTCCTCGTTTGTGAAACAAGGACGTTGCAGTTAAACGTTACAGATGAAAAATCTGTCGTCTAATTTAACATTGGGTGTGTAATTTAATAGAGATTAATATTAATACAGATATTGATGGTGTTTTCGACGTGACACCTCGCGAATTACAATTGAGGGGAGGTCAATCCTCGCTGTTCGAACTCTCCTTCAATCCGAATGCCGGAAACAATCTTTTCGGAAGGGAGATCGTCGCTTCAGTTTTCGAGAATGGCTCAATGGATATTGTTTTTCCATTTTTTACGTCGATTGAAGTAATAGGTTTGATTTTTACACGTAAATAAAGACGTAATACAGTGATCCCTCGATGAATGCGACACCAAAACGGCGTTACTCCCACCATTGGGGGAGTCCCCCTGTGGAACGAATCAAAACAGAGTAAATAGAAGTTACGCAGATGCTCGGCATCGGGCAAAAAACAAATTTATAAGGGACTGCAAACCTTTCTGCCTTGCCACAAATGCTCCGAAGTGAACTCGAGTACGTCGCACTCATCGAGACCTGACTGTACTCAGTGTTGCGAATGCATTAACACCTTGAGGACTGAAAACAGAAATTTATATTCTTGCAAGTTTGTCGTAATATTCAATTATAATACCCAGATAGCACATGACGCCTTAAAGACGCCCATTTGGCGGCTATTTGAGGTCTAAGACGCCTTTAAGCCGTCTTTAAGGCGTCATGTGCTATCTGGGATATCCAATTTTAGGTTTATGTATAACAACGTTAAGTTTCAACTGAAATGTACCGGTCCACAAGTTGTTTAATTATATTCGTTCGATCCTTTTTAACTCACTAGTAGATTCGTTTGATGATTAAATACGCATTACAGTACAGTTAATTATAGTCAAAACCATTTGCAGGTCATTCATTTCCGGCCACGTCGAACGGATGGATCCCGCAATACGAAATACCTCAAACAGTAATAATGCCAGCGTGCGTGCCGCAGGATCCGGTCTTCACAACGTTCCTGATGAAGAAGTTCGGTCATTTACCCCTGATGTTCCAATTTGTTCCACCACCGGCGACTCGTTTCACCGTGAAGCCAATCCTTGGCGTGATTCATCAGTACGACTATATATTGATAATATATACAGTAAGCAGCAAAAGTATTCGTGCACCCATATGAATCCTAAATAGATGTTAATAAAAGCTGTTTATATTCACGGAAATGCAGATTTGATTAGGTATTTATAAAATTACATATATTCTGCGTTGCGTTATTGGCATGTTTCACGAGAATAAATTAGTAAACCATGTCATTGTAGGTCTTACATTTGGATATTTGTAACAGATAAACTCAGAACCCAGATAGCACGTGAATACTTTTACTGCCTATTATAAGAGTGGCAGAATCTCCCCAGATAGCACATGACGCCTTAAAGACGGGTATTTTAGGTCTAAGCCTTATTGTACGGGTATTTTAAGTCTAAGGCGTCTTTAAGTCACCTTCAAGGCGTCATATGCTATCTGGGTCAGCACAGAAGTTATAAAGAATTTAATGGCAGTTGACTGTTTAACGTAAAAATGTTTTAAATGCATCTATATACAGGGTGAGTCATCTAAGATTTTCACCTGAAATATCTCCGTTGTTTTTAATGATACCAGAAAATGTGTATGGGAAACAATGTTTGTTTCTATACAATCCAGCACGTTCATCCTCAATTCTGCTACATTGATCCTGGTAAGGCACCTTTAGATATTCCGTTGAACTATAATTGTCTATTATAAATTTCAGGGATTATCAAATAATCACGGTGAAAATGTCACCGAAACCGGAGGACGAACAAATCTATCTTGAACGATGGACGATATACTTCAACGGGAATACGAAGAACGAGAGTTGTATAGATTTCAAGGGATACGCCGAGTGCCCGAACATAATATTCCTCAATGATAACGTGTTGAATTTCGCACCGGTTCTACCGCGATGTCAGCAGTTCGAGAAACTCCGAATGCGAAACATTACACGGCATAAAATCAGGTACATGAACGAGAAATTAAAACGACCGATTAACCCTTGTGTAGGCAACCGGATACCCATTTCTAAATTTCCTTTCACTAAAACAGCACCTGGTATATTATAGGAATGGAAAATTAAAGGTATCGGAAAAGAATGAAAGTAAAATTATCTATGTTTACCTAATCTGTTAGAATAGGGGTATTCCGATTGCTCAATAACCATGAATATTTTGGTTGCCCACACAAAGGTTAATGCAGCTCAACTTTATACACGTAGATACCTCCTGAATGTAAAAATATTTAAGAAACAAATGTCCCCTTTTATCGACTCAACTAGATTTAGATTCTACCAAATGCCTTACGAATTCAATATGCAAACAGAGAGCGGAGAAATTGAACCGAATGATTTTCTGTGCCAAGAATGCTCGTTACAGCCAACCGAGCCGTCCATAGATTACGATTTCGAGTTGATATGTGTCTTGATTGTCGTTAAAAATGAAACTCTCGTCGGGCTGAAAAGTTGCGTGAGTCTACGTGTTCGTGGAAGATGTGAAATGGGATCGTTAGTGGTAAAATATCTTCGTAAACGGAACTAAAGATCACGTAAAATGTATTTAAGAAGATGCTCCTGTTCCAAACCTCTTCGTTTAATCATCTTGCGAATGGGAACATCCTTCTTGGATCATTGAAACTGAACAGATTTTATGAGAAACGTGTATCTTCTTTGCTAGGCCATACCCGAGGAATTGTATTTCAAAGAAATCGAGTACAACAACACCGAAACACTGACTTTCAAACTCTTTAATTATTGTCCAGTGAATATTTCCTACAAATTGATTTGCGACCATCGAAACTGGCCACTAGGTAACATTCAGAGAGACGTTCAGTTCCGTCCATCTGTGGGAACGGTTTTCTCAGGCTCTTATGAACAAATAATGATTTCTATTACACCACGTACACCCGGTTATTACGACTTTCTCGTTGAATACATGATTAGAGTTAATTCCCGATTGGACACTTTGGTGCCTGATCAAATACCTGTCAGAATTTGTACTGTTTGCTGTATGTGCATACTGCCCACGATAAAGGTAAACGATTGCTTACACGACAAATAGGGTAAACCAACCAGCATACCAGTGAATGACTATTAGGCAAAAAAATGTGAATTATAAATTTGAAATTATTAAATGTTTATAAATGGGGTGTAGTTGCACTTTTAATATCCAATATGTTTAGTTTAGTGTATTAAACAAACATTAATAAGAGCAATTCTTATTAAAAATATTTCAGAAATGTAGCAGTCATTTTCTAAGCTTTTACACGTTTTGCATTTTATACATAATTATTTAAAAATTACGATAAGAAGTCATTATTTTTATATAAATTTCAAGAAAAATAAATGTAATTGCAATTTCAACAGCTGTTTTGTTGTTATAAGTAAATACATTAAGTATTAATAGCAAACATCCATCAATTCAATAATTCGGTCATTCACTGGTTGGTTTATCCTAGTATATTCAGATCGTGAAAGGTTTTATTAATCATGACTAAACTGTTAATCGAAGTGACGATCTACCAGTGGGTCACATTGCTTTAAATATTTTGAGCAATACTGTAATCTTGAAATTTGAATCGTTATATGCTACAGGTGGACAATGTGTGTGCCTATGGATACAAGCAGACATCTTCGTTAAATATAAGCAAACCATTTTTGTGGAAAGCCATGGAAATAGATAAGTACGTTCATTATTAACGCTAATTGCCTGTGTGATAATTGATTTGATTGGAAGTCTGGTTATTATTCATTTTTCGTTCAGATTAAACACAATTCTTGAGAATATATTGCCAGGGGAAAGGAAGAACTTGAGGATAAAATTGTTCCCACTGGTTGTAAACAAAGGAGTTGTTATCATAAAATTAATTGTAAAGAACTATTCAAGATTTCTTGCTTCTTGGACCTTTAAATGGATCCAACGCTGCAACTGCAAACCAGTTTCGAAGAAGATAGGTTGTTCTCTTTGGAAGAAAGAACTTGATTGTCCTCATCAGAAACTTTGCATTCTGGATCCAATGTCTGGGAAGTTAAAAGTACTAGTTCTACACTTGGAATTCTTATCTGAACGTATATCTCATTGATAAATATGCATTATACATTTACATCTTCCTTTGTGTAACTACTGAGGGTTTAAATCTTTAATGTAATTTGGTCATTCACTTTTCAGAGAAACAAGGAGACTGTAATCAGTATGGAAGTATATTATTCATTGATTGGAAAATCAGAATTATCCTACAACTTAGACATAGGTCACGATCGTCACATTATTTTGGACATGTTGATTGACTGTTTGCCCGTGTCAGAAAAGCAATATAACTTCTTAAGTAGTACATGTGCAAATTTCGGACAGATTTACTTCGGAAACAGAGAGGCTGTTCATAAAGTAGGATTTAAATTCATTGATCTTCTCGATGGCAATACAAATCGAAAAAAAAACATGTAATTGTAGGCGTATTGGATATGGAATATTACAAATAACGATTTACCGTATTCTGTGGACATATATAACATTTGTAAGATTAATGAACAATATCATTGCGAAGTGTTTTCTTGTTTGACTCAAAGTGGAACTGTGAAAGCCCGATCAAGTAAACCTCTGCTTTTGAAGTTTCAACCTAGAATGTTTGGGACATATAAGGTATCAAAAACTTAGAATTCAAATTGTTCAATTTAAAAAACTGAAGGATGATATTATATACTTTTCGTTACAAGGCCGTGCTTCCAATAACATTGGGCCATAAGACGATGGAATTGACGTTAAAAGGACAATCATCCTGTGACTTCAGATCAACTCTAGTTGGAAAATCGATACCAATTTATTGCAGGTGTAACACTTTACAATTTCCTGTATATTTCAACATAGACTGCATAGACATGTGGTCCAGACCAATGCATAATTTTATGATTAAAATGCTTATTGTGCAGAATGGTTTGGATCAGGATGCACTTGGTTTCGAGTGGAAATGGTAGTTTCATAGTTCATTTGAAATAACAGATTTTCGTGCTATTTGTTAAAGTTGTCAAACTTCTCTAGTAAAGATGTGTCAGATGTATGTGAAATCAACGTGATACCTCGCAAGGGTATAATCGGTCCACACACAGTGCAGAGTTTTAGGCTGGAGATTACCACGAAGGGACATCCATGTAGAATTAACATCGATGTACCTTGTGAATTCATTAACGCTAGTAAAAAGCGCGATTATCAGAGAAGTATTCTGCAGTACGATCTCCTAACAAAAGAACTGGCGGGACAATTTGTTATTACAGAAAAAGGCACTACTGTCCCAGTGAGCGATAAACTATTCGATTCCTTTTACTTGGACATTTTTTGATACATTTGTCTGTAGGAAAAAATGAAAGAAAAAATTGCACCTTTTTTTACAGGAACCATGGTTAAAAATATTAGATGAACCAGAAACATTTAGCAAAACATTAAGTGTACGTTGTTCTATATATCCTGTAGAAGATGAATCTATAAGGATTAGTTTAACAGAAGAATTGAAGACTGCACCATTAAATCCAATTTTATTCGATGATACGGAAAGTTACGACATCACAGAGGACACGAAAGAACTGTTTATAGCCACGTTTATTCTGGAAGGTTTATTATGGTAACAATTACTTCTATATTCAATTATATGAAAACACTGAAAGTACTTTACAGCAAGATATTGAAATTTGTACTTTATAGGGATATTGTTAACGGTAGAAGATTTAAAAGAACTATTGAGAAGAACTTAATACCTAAAAGAAATTTGTATTATTCTCAATTTCTAATGGACCTGTCTGAGCGAAGGAGATTAATAAACAGGTGTTATATATCACCACCGCTGAAATTAATTCACTCTATATTAGAAAAAGTATACATATAATAACATTGAAATTAATTTGTAATGATCAATGTTCCACAATGAAACTTTAAGTAATTGCTACTTTCTTCAGATGCTGTTTATCATTGTACACGAAGAATTTTCTTTAGGAATAGCACATATGACTCCCAGAGAAGATGCAAGACATGCGAATTATATCAGAACCATACTGACACAAAAGAAATTTTATTCCCATGAAAGTAATATTACAGAATCCTTCGTTTTTTAAAAACCATTTCCATATTAATATTTGTTGCGACAAGAACAGTTATCATATGAACGATACTTTCTAGGTCGTCTGTTCTCACTTGAAGAAATGCAAAAGACTCAATCAAAAATAGCATCCAGAGTGTCCTTTTCGGATTAAATATATAAAAAAATAATTTTATTTACACATACATGCTATTGTAAGTACTAAATATTAACTGATTTCTTTCTTATATGGATCTGAAATTCGTTTAAACACAGCCAAGAACTTATCACCTTTGTTTCTTGTTACTTTTTGGCCCTCTTCGGTACTTTCATACAGTTTTTCTACAATTGGATCTGCATCCTTTGTAAAAAAAAATTGATAATTGTACTTGCTACCTTGGTTATAAACAATTGTAATGATATAATAATGGTAATAGAAAGTAGAGTTTTAACAATAATAATTTCTCATGCTGTCACGAGTTCTCAAAGAAACTTACCAATTCTTCTTTAGGAACATCATCAAATAAAGGGTGCTCATGAAAGTGCTGTACTATCCATTCATGTAGATCTTTAACATCTGTCATTGTATATATAACAGCCTTTAAATAATACTCACAATTACTAATTTATATGTAATAGAAATGTTATCCCCTTTGTGATCCAAAATTAAGGTGTACATTAGATTTATGTTATAACTAGAAATTATTTGGATCACAAGGAGTTAGAATAAGATATTATAAATGAAATATTACTTCTTCAGCTAACACATAGGCATATTCTGCCAGAAGTGTCTTATTAATAATTCTCCATTTGTGCTTAGACCTCTTGAAATGTGGATCAGGATATAGGAAAAACATCTTCTTCAGCTGCAATGATATAAAATGGTAATTAAGATGGACATAAAATTATTACTTATAATATAAGGTTACAGTCTGTACCTGCCCTTTGTGAAAATAATTTGGTAAATATTTCATTGCATTCGTCCTTAAGCACGAAATGTTCTGATACTGTCCAGGATTTTGTGATCTTAGCGCTGCTATACGATCCATGACATAGTCGGAAACTTTTACCCTGATTTCCATACCAAGGATCAGATTATCAGGGAACATTGGTGACAGTGTAACTGTTAAAGAAAATATTTTACATCTAATATAAATAATATAAGATGGATGATATGATAACTTAGTAAAATGTTAAAGTACTAATTGGAGTAGAGTTATTTTAATAGAATAAGAAATATGCTGTACCCAGTAGCCCTCCATAGCCACAACCAACATCCACAAACTCCACAAATTTTTGTTGTATAAGTTTTCCTTCGGATACTGTTTGACTGTTCATAAAGTAATACGGATATAATGACCTCCAATTCATCAAGTCAGGTTTTACAGGACTGAAAAGAAATTCATTCCATGGTAAGGACATGGAAATTTCTGAAGACAATTTTATAATAGTAATAATGCTACATTATGAATGACTGCAAAGCTGAATTTGTATTTTATTTATAAAAATATTCACGTACTATTCAATGCAGTGATCCGCTATGGGATTCGAATGGGCCCGTTGTCTATAAAATTTCTTCTGTGGCAACGGTAGTGGATCTGACATATTAATAACGTTCATTTGCCGCAGTTCGCCGAAAACAAGACCACGTGCTGTTCACTGTCTCAACCTAACCTGAATGAAACCTAACCCAAGTAACGAGTTATCAGATGTGTCAGACTACTTGAAAGAATATTTAAAGAATAATTCAAATCTAAAAATTAGCGAAGAAAATTTCCACGAAAAACCAAATTATAACTCGGCGTGTTTGCGTTTGTAATTTAATTTTCCATTTAAAATGTGTTGTTTTATTTGCAACTTTGTTGATTTAACATTTTGTGAAATATTAATCGTATAGTTAGTACTTACAGTTTCTTTGAGAAATAAGGAAAGTATGTAAATAAACTTCTATACAAATATCATTGTAAATTCTATATTGTTTTACGATTTTTTCGATAAAACAGTCAAATCATACATATGCGCTATTCATTAGTCCCTACACTATCTCCACTCCTATTCCTAATATCAATTTACCAAAAAAATAGTAAGAAATAATAAATAATAACAAAATAATTAATTTTAAAACATATAAGTTTTGACACTGTATCTCTGATACGGTTGACACTGTATCTCGTCCTGCGTACCCCGTTTAGTTCACTTTGAATAGCTCTTCCAACGTTCTATGGACAGCCTACGTCTGGACCAAGCATTCAGTTTGAAGCTGAAAGAATGTAGATTAATCCCCTTTCATTGAAAATAACAATAAACGTCCAGAACACTGTTAAAATCACATTTGTATGCAACGGTTGACACTGTATCCCGTCATGCGTCCCCCGTTTAGTTCACTTTGGTCAACTCTTCCAACGTTATGCTGACAGCTTCCGCCTTGAAAAAGCACTTGATTTGTAGCTGAAAGAACGTAGATTAATCCTCTGTCATTGAAAATAACAATAAACGACCATAACACTGTTAAAATCGCATTTAATTGTTGAATACCACTATTTTTTCTACCGGTGGCGCCACCCGTGGCAATTAGCTCAAACTGCTAGCCAAATTATACCGACAGGTGAGTGAAAATTTCTAATGATGGAAAAATGCAAATATCTCAGTAATTAAGCACTTAATATGTACGTCATTAGTCTCAAATTGTCCCTCAGGACTTAATGCATCGAACCAATAGTGCAGAACCCCTGAATTAGTAAAATTAGTTATGCCTGTATTACCGTAGCCCCTTATTGGGCGGCAACCCTAATTGCAAAAGATTTCAATCGCATTTCCACCGCTAAACGGGCATGATTCTTCTTCGTTTTGCATTAGATGCAACGTTTAAAGAACGGAGATTACTTTTCTCTAACGGCTGGACACTAGTAATTACAAGAACATTGTTAAAATCGAATTTGTTTGCAACGGTTGACACTGTATCTCGTCATGCGTGCCCCGGTTAGTGCACTTTGAATAGCTCTTCCAACGTTATATGAACAGGTTACGTCTTAATCAAGCATTCAGCTTGAAGCTTAAAGAACGTAGATTAATCCCCTGTCATTGAAAATAACAATAAACGACCAGAACACTGGTAAAATCGCATTTAATTGAGGAATACCACTATTTTTTCGACCGGTGGCGCCGCCCGTGGCACTTCGCTCAAACTGCTAGCCAAATTATATCGACAGGTGAGTGAAAATTTCAGAAATTGGAAAAACGCGAATATCTCAGTAATTAAGAGCGTAAAATGCACGTCATTAGTCTCAAACTGTTCCTCAGGACTTAATGCATGGACCCAATACTGTAGAACCCTAGAATAAATAAAATTAGTTATGCCTGTATTACCGCAGTCCCTTCTGGAGCGGCAACCTGGTTTCCAACACGTTTCTATAGCATTTACACAGCTAAACGGGCATGATTCTTCTTCGTTTTGCATTAGATACAACGATTAAAGAACGTAGATTGCTATTCTCGAGAGGCTGGAAACCAGTAATTACAAGAACATTATTAAAATCGCATTTGTTTGCAACGGTTCACACTGTATCTCGTCATGCGTGCCCCGGTTAGGTCACTTTGAATAGCTCTTCCAACGTTATATGGACAGATTACGTCTTGATCAAGCATTCAGTTTGAAGCTTAAGGAACGTAGATTAATCTCCTGTAATTGAAAATAACAATAAACGACCCGAACACTGTTAAAATCGCAATTTAATCGCGGAGTACCACTATTTTTTCGATCGGTGGCGCCACCCGTGGCAAATCGCTGAAACTGCTAGCCATATAATTAGTTAATAGTTTCAGCGATTCGCCACGGATGGCGCCACCAGTCAAAAAAATAGTGGTACTCCGCGATAAAATGCGATTTTAACAGTGTTCTGGTCGTTTATTGTTAATTTCAATGACAGGAGATTAATCTGCGTTCTTTCAGCTACAAATCGAGTGCTTTTTCAAGGCGGAAGCTGTCAGCATAACGTTGGAACAGCTATTCAAAGTAAACTGAACGAGGTACGTATGACGAGATACAGTGTCAACCGTTGCAAACAAATGTGATTTTAACAATGTTCTTGTAATTACTGGTTACCAGCCGTTAGAGAATAGTAATCTACGTTCTTTAAACATTGTATCTAATGCAAAACGAAGAAGAATCATGCCCGTTTAGCGGTATGAATGCGATCGTAATATTTTGCAATTAGAGTTGTCGCCCCATAAGGGGCTACGGTAATACAGGCATAACTAATTTTACAAATTCATAGATTCTGCACTGTTGGATCGATGCATTAAATCCTGAGGAACAATTTGAGACTAATGACGTTCATATTAAGTGCTTAATTACTGAGATATTTGCATTTTTCCATCACTAGACATTTTCACTCACCTGTCGGTATAATTTGGCTAGCAGTTTGAGCGAATTGCCACGGGCGGCGCCACCGGTCGAAAAATAGTGGTATTCCGCGATTAAATGCGATTTTAACAGTGTTCTGGTCGTTTATTGTTATTTTCAATGACAGAGGATTAATGTACGTTCTTGCAGCTACAAATCAAGTGCTTTTTCAAGGCGGAAGCTGTCAGCATAACGTTGGAAGAGCTATTCAAAGTAAACTGAACGAGGTACGCACGACGAGATACAGCGTCAACCGTTGCAAACAAATGTGATTTTAACATTATTCTGCACGTGTATTGTTGTTTACAATGGCATAGAATTAATCTACGTTCTTTCAGCTACAAATCGAGTGCTTTACTTAGACGAAAGCTATCCGTATAACGGTGTAAGAACTGTCCAAAGTGGACTAACCGGGGTAAACATGACGAGATACAGTGTCAACCGTTGCAAATGAATGGCGATTTTAACAGTGTTCTGGTCGTTTATTGTTATTGCCACTAACAAGAGATTAATCTACGTCCTTTCAGCTACAAGTCGAGTGCTTGGTCAAGACGAATGCTGTCAGCACAACGTTGGAAGAGATGTCGAAAGAAAACTAAACGGGGTACACATGACGAGATACAGTGTCAACCGTTGCAAACAATTGAGATTTTATCAATGTTTTGTAATTACTGGTTCCCAGCCGTTATAGGGTACTAATCTACATTCTTTAAACTTCGAATGTAATGCATGACGAAGAAAAGTGTTGCCTGCTTAGTGGTATATGTAATTGCAACAGGTTTCGATCGGGTTTACACTGCTAAACGAGCATCAGTTTTCTTTGTCATGGATTACATTCGAAGTTTAAAGAACGCAGATTAGTACTCTCTGGCAGGTGGGAACCAATATTACGAGAAAATTGTTAAAATCTCAATTGTTTGCAACGGTTGACACTGTTATAACAATAAACGGCCGGAACACTGTTAAAATCGCATTTAATCGCGGAGTACCACTATTTTTTCGACCGGTGGCGCCATCCGTGGCGAATCGCTGAAACTATTAGCCAATTATATGGCTAGCAGTTTCAGCGATTTGCCACGGATGGCGCCACCGGTCAAAAAAATAGTGGTACTCCGCGATTAAATGCGATTTTAACAGTGTTCTGGTCGTTTATTGTTATTTTCAATGTCAGGAGATTAATCTACGTTCTTTCAGCTACAATTCGAGTGCTTTTTCAAGGCGGAAGCTGTCAACATAACGTTGGAAGAGCTATTCAAAGTAAACTAACTGGGGTACGCATGACGAGATACATTGTCAACCTTTGCAAACAAATTCGATTTTAACAATGTTCTTGTAATTACTGGTTTCCAGCCGTTAGAGAAAAGTAATCTACGTTCTTCAAACGTTGTATCTAATGCAAAACGAAGAAGAATCATGCCCGTTTAGCGGTGTAAATGCGATCGTAATGTTTTACAATTAGAGTTGTCGCCCCATAAGGGGCTACGGTAATACAGGCATAACTAATTTTACTAATTCAGGGATTCGGCACTGTTGGATGGATGCATTAAGTCCTGAGGAACAATTTGAGACTAATGACGTACATATTAAGTGCTTAACTACTGAGATATTTGCATTTTTCCAACATTGTAAATTTTTACTCACCTGTCGGTATAATTTGGCTAACAGTTTGAGCGAATTGCCACGGGTGGCGCCACCGGTCGAATTGTCAACCGTTGCAAATAAATTGCGATTTTAACAGTGTTCTGGTCGTTTATTGTTATTTTCAATGACAGGGGATTAATCTACGTTCTTTATGCTTCATAGCAAATGCTTGATCATGCCGAAATCTGTTTGCATAACATTGTAAGAGCTATTCAAAGTGAACTATAGGAGGTGCGCATGACGAGACACAGTGTCAACCGTTGCAGATAATTGTGATTTTAATGATGTTCTTCTTATTACTAGATAATGATGTTCTTCTTATTACTAGGATATTAATCTACGTTTTTTGATCTTGGAATCCAAAGCCTGACAAAGAAAAGTTATGCTCGTTTACCGGTGTAAATGTGATTGTAACCTGCTGCGATTGGGGTGACCACTCCATAACATAAGGGTCTTCATTAACATATGCATAAATAATGTGACTAATTCTGGGTTTCTGCAGTATTGGGGCTAATTTGACTGTAACACTTAAAAAAGTTTTGAAGTTCCATTTATATCATTGTCCTGTGAAAATGTTCATACTTCCAGCAGCATTCATATTACAATCAAAGAATTTACAGAATAAGAAAAAGGAATTTAAAGTAATTTTCAGTAGTTCCATACATCTTTATCTCGAATAATTTTCTAAAACATTCAAAGTACTAGACATGTTTACACATTGTAATATAGAACGTGGTTTTATGAGATAGATTCGAAGTTCGCAGCCATTAGCTCGA